TTAACGGGGTAATTTACATATGTTTGGCTTTGGTGTTTTAAAAATTATTCATTTTAACGGGTTTTCGGATTAACGGGTTCATATTAACGGGGTTGCCTATGTAATAATAACATTAATAGTAAGTTATATGTGTTTGTTATTTTTTTAAAAATATTAATATATTAATATAAAAAAATACATACGTAATTATAAATTCATTCTTATATTTTTTTTAAACAAAACAATTATTTAGCATACTAAAGGAAAATAATCAACATAAATCATCTTGAAAGATGATTGTATTTTTTTTTCTCTTGAACCGAGTTATTGAATTGTTGCTTATCTGCCACTAGGAATTTGGTAAATAGAGAACTGGAAGCTCTTCGTGGCCACAACTTTTGAAAGATGCCAATTAGGTAACCAGCCCTAATGTATGGTGGACAAACTGTTGTGAACGTCCTTCTCTATACCAACCGAAAAGCCAGCTGATGTGAATCAGTGCCTGTGGTGAATATGTGAATTAAGAGACTGGAAGCACTTCGTGGCCACAACTTATGAAAGTTGCCAATTAGATAACCAGCCCTAATGTACGGCGGACGATCTGTTGTGAACGTCCTTCTCTACACTAACTGAATATTTGATTCCCTTTTTAAATTATAATGTATGTTCATTTAGTGGTAAAAATGTCTGTTCGCTTCGTCAGAAGATCGCAATCGGGAAAAGATGATAAAGAAGATAGTAATTCTGGCCGAAAAATCGACATCATCTGGTTTATAAAATCAACTGACCTTGAGTTTTCCGTTGGTGAAGTCAGTGGACCACTAAATCAACGCAATCATACGCACTTATTTTCATGACAAAATTAAGATTGCCAAGATGCTGAAGGTTATCTTTAATAGAGTTGTGAGGAAGTATGGTGGTGCAGGTACGAGTTTAAGTATATTGAAATTATATGGACTACATTTCGAAAATATTCATGCTGTGTAAGGCTAATATTCTCTAATTTTTTACAGATAATGAAGTAATTATATACGATATGTCAATACCATCTCGTTGGATTGTATGTTTTTTATGAAATTTTACGATCAAAACTATCAAAGAATGGGGTTGAAGTGGGATTAGTATTACGATCTGCACCAGGGTTGGCAAATTGACTGGTCCATTGAGAACAGATGGATTTTGGACTGGTCCATTACCATTAATAAAATACTAAATCGACACCATCCACTGAAGCTAGAATGCTATTTAAAGATAATAACAACTGGGGTTACATCGTAGGCTCGATCGAAATATGGTTAAAGTGTTACATTAATGGACCCAATGGACCACCAATAGACCGCACATTTGCCAACCCTGGTACAAACAATATGATCAAACAGAATTTATTCAACTCGTTTTTACATGCCAGTTATTTTATCTCCACCCTGTTTTTACATACCAGTTCCTCAAAAAATGCCAATTTATACCCAATTTTGTTAATACTAATTCAATTATAATTGTCCGAGGTCCTCTTGAAAATAAATATGTAATTCATAATATTACGTGATGAGATCATGGCTCACAATTTACTTATGTGAATTATATCACAGGTATGTATGGTATATTATATAATACATTACTCAATAAAAAAACAAATTTTCTCATGTTAGACTTTAACTTTGTATATGGGTGTGTGGGTACGTGGTGTATGTATGCATCGGAAAAATAAGGTTTTTTTATTCGAATTTTCTACTTCGCAATCAATGTACGATTATACATTATTGTCTTTTAATACAGAAAAATTATTCAGCATTAGCAAATTGAGCTCCTCCGCCAGCATTCATATATTCCAATTTTAATCTTAGCTCTACTGTTCCTTGTTCTGGACTTCCTCGGTATTTATTTGCCATTCATGCATGACTTCCCTGGTTTCAATAACATTATCAAGATTTATTCTTTGGTTATCGATACTTAGATACAACCCTCTTCTATGAAATATGTTATTTCGTTAATTAGCCATTATTATGGATATAATGATGAAAAAATCGAATGCCTCTTTGCACTGAAAGATTATATGGTACATTGTCATTTATTCGACCCAATGAAACTCCACAACAATGGGCTATTCGTGTGAGAGTTCCTTTACTATAATTTTTGGGTTCCATGGCAGATCTGATGTAAATGAATTTCATATTAATTGTTTTTATATAGGAGTAGTTCCATATACCCATATACCACCACTTCAGAAAAATTTTATCCCTGAAATAGTCGTGGAATGTGTCACGAAAAAATATTGGCAAATATAAAAACGGATGATCAATTTTAATAAAATTTACATGAAAAAATCGTTCCTTCATAAGCTAACTATAATATTTTAAGAACAAAGGGTGCCGAAAATTGTTTAAAAATGTAGTTTTAGACTTAAAGTATACTTTAAACCTATTTCTCCCGAATACTCATGCCTCTGTGGAGTATGATCTTGTTTGAACGCAAATAATAAATTGAAAAAATCGTTCCTTCATAAGCTAACTATAATATTTTAAGAACAAAGGGTGCCGAAAATTGTTTAAAAATGTAGTTTTAGACTTAAAGTATACTTTAAACCTATTTCTCCCGAATACTCATGCCTCTGTGGAGTATGATCTCGTTTGAACGCAAATAATAAATTTAAAGATTAGAAATTCTTGGTAATACAAGTGTTCATGTCCCATATAATAAAATTACGGGTCGGCTACCCTTTTCACGAATTAATTTATGCTGACATCGTATTGCAGATGTATGTAATCCATTACGTTGAGCACATTTTATTAATGAAATAATATACATTACAATGACTTTTTATTGCATGTAAAGATTCCAATTGAAAATTTGATTTTTGGACTATTTGCTAAATGTTTCCATTAATACCATACCAAACCTTTCGAAGCTTTTGTAATTTAGAGATTTTGATATCCAGTACAAGTCTACTTAGTAAAGTAAAAAAGGTTTTATTTAAGAAAACGTTACTTTTTTAGTAAGGTCTCTTTTTCATTTGACATTACAACGACGTAGGTGAGCGTACATCTTATTATTATTAAAGAGATGTAAACAGAGCCTGTAATGAATCTTTAAAGTATTTACGAAAACATAACGAGAATCGTTGTGAAGTTGGGGCTTGCACTTTATTGTATTAGCTATTTTTGGGGGATTTTTAAAGTTAATTTTATGTAATACAAATTTACAAAAAAAAATTTTTTTCCTTATTTTATTTGAAAATTTTTTTTTAAAATCACCACCACAATTACATAAATAAATAAATCGTATTTTTTTTTATAGGTGAAAATGGGACTAGATCTTGACGCTTGCATTTCTCAACTTTTACAGAAACAGTTACTTGCTGAATCGCTTATTCGAGAAATTTGTGAAAAGACCAAAGAATTACTAATGCGTGAAAGTAATGTTGTCCATATATCCGCTCCTGTGACAGTTGTTGGAGATATTCACGGGTAAAGATGAAAGAAAATAAATTATTTTTTTATTCTTTAATATAATATTAATAATAATATTATTAAAGAGGCATTCCAATTAATTAATTCCATTTCCTAAAAAATTTTTTTTTCAATAATAAAATAATTATATATAGGCAATTCTACGATTTGATAGAAATATTTAGAATTGGTGGTTATTGTCCTCATACAAATTACCTATTTCTTGGTACATTTAAGAGATTTCAGCGAAATATTCAAAATCTTTAAAAATTTTTTAAAAAAAAGCAGTGTTAATAATAAAAAAAGGTGTACAGCCGAATGTTCTTAAATATGAATCGCCTCCTTGTTCGGTTTCTTGCAGGCGATTACGTGGATCGAGGGCTATTCAGCGTAGAAACTATTTCACTATTGACTTGTCTAAAGTTACGGTACCCAGAAAGAGTTCAACTTGTTAGGGGGAATCATGAATCAAGAGCTGTAACACAAGTAATATATTATATATATATTTGAATAAATATTTGAATAAAATCTAATAAGTCGAATCTTATCAATGACACTTTATGATTTGTGACTAATTTATATGTACATGTTTTATTACTTGAAATGTAAAAATAGACCTATGGATTTTACACCGAATGCGTAAGAAAATATGGAACTCCTAATGTTTGGCAATATTTTACCGATATGTTTGATTATTTGACCTTGTCTGTTGTAATTGATGATAGAATATTCTGTGTTCATGGAGGTAAAATTTAAATTTTACTTTATAATTATATAATTGAATCTCTATTTTGATAACAACGATGATAACAATGATAATGGTGATAATGATAGGTCTTTCACCATCTATACACACTATCGATCAAATTAAAATTCTGGATAGATTTAGAGGTATTTTTTAATTTCTTGTTTCTATTCTTCCCTTCTTACCATTCTTTCCAAAAACCAATTTTATATTATTTTATTGAAAAAAAAATAAAGAAATTCCTCATGAAGGGCCTATGGCAGATTTGGTTTGGTCGGATCCTGATCCCGAAAAAGATGAATTCGCCATTTCACCAAGGTTATTTTTATTTTTGAAAATTAATTATTTGTTTGTCATTTTCAAGTTTTCAAATTTTTTGATTGATTTTTTTATAGAGGCGCTGGCTACACATTTGGTGGACAAGTTGTTAATAGATTTCTTGAAATTAATAAAATGGAACATATATTACGCGCTCATCAATTATGCATGGAAGGATATCAAGTAATGAATTTTATTTTTTAAATTCCTGTTGTAACTTTTAAAATTTTAAAAAAAATTCAAATCCAAAAAACTATTTTATATAGGTTTTATATAATGATTGTCTATCGACAGTTTGGTCAGCCCCTAATTATTGTTATCGATGTGGTAATATGGCATCAATTTTAGAAGTTGGTGTTAATGGAGAAAGATTCTTCAATGTATTTGATGCAGCGCCTGAAAATGAAAGAGATGGACCATCCCAACAAATGAATTTGGAAAGAAAAGTAAAATTTTTTTTAAAATTTTTTTTTTGGAAATCATATAATTATATATATATATATGTTTATCTTTTTTATTATTATTATTAGGATAAAACATCGTCTTATTTTTTGTGATGGATGATTATCAATCAATTATATTACACCAGCGTTTTTCGTTTTTTTCCATTTTTTCATTATTCTTTATTTAATCAAATGGCGATTATATTATTATTATTACAAGAAAAATCTCTCTGAAAATTATTTAAAAAATAATTTATGTAATTCTAGAAAACTATAATTAATTTCTTTTTCTACTTTACAATAATAAACATATAATATATGCGTTTTATTTCAATACATTTATATTATGGATTAAATCTCGAATTTTTTCTGGTTGGCAGTAGTCTACTTTGTGTGTCCATAAATCTAGCAGTATTTGCACGTTGAAATTGAATCACCACAATTGGAATTGGTACTATTTCACAAATTATACTAACTACACCCAGTGCGATATAAACTGTAATAGGTCTTGCTATTGGTGGAAAGAGCAATAAAATTGCTAAATAATAATAATAATAATATTTTTTAAAAAATGATTATTACAATAAATTTAATTAATGAAATAATAATAAAAACAACATTAATAACAATAAAAATTTACAGATTTACTACTAACCACAAATGCCATATTGTGATAAGCTACCTATATTCCATAAAGTTAGAACCAAACAAAGCTTTATTGGCGAACAAATAAGAGATTTATCACCTTCATAAATATACCACTCGTATGATTCATTTACAAGTTTTTGAGTGATTTTCACATCTAATGGTAATTCCTCATCCAATCTTTGATTTCTTTTACGTGATCCAATTAATATCTTTATAGCTCTTGGTAAATTACGAATCCTTTTTGGGTGAACTATTAATGTTAACAATGTGAATACACCATTCACCACCTTAATTTTTGAAAGGAAAAAAAAAAAAAAATTTGTAATTATATAATAATTATAAAATCTTTAAATATAAAAATAATAAATATTTACTTGTGTTAAAATCTCCACCCAAAGTTCTTTTGCAATACTATTTAAGATCAAGACTATATCAAACGTAATCAAAACATATAAAGTTATCACCAACGCTAAACGACAATATGTAAAAATTTCCATTAATCGTTTACTTTTAAGAAGCAATGTTTTAAGTGCTAATAAACATTCAATTTCCTCGGGTGATACGGAAGGTTTATTTGTCTGTGTGCTAGCTTCAGAAGTTGATATTCTACGAGCTGGCAAATCAACTACTTTTGTTGGTGTGCTTAGACTAGATGTAGATGTCGTCGTCGCTGGTGTTATTATTGTCGTGTCTATTTTAGCTAGATCTTTGATAGTTTTTTTTGTTTTTATTTCTGGTTTATCATTGGCATTATCATCATTATTATCATCTGGTTTTCGATGTGATGTGGGTATTTTAGGTGAAAGATGATACATTTATATATATTATTAGTAGTAATTATTATTGTAATTGTTATATTTGTTATTATTTTAATAATATTTGATTATTAATGTTGATAATTATTATTTTATTATTTGTTGTTACTGTTGTTACTGTTTGTTATTGTTGTTACTGTCTTTCTTTTTTCCTAGTCTTTTTTTTTCTTTCTTTTTCTTGTTATTAATATTTTGTATGAAATTCAAAAAAAAACAAAATGATTGAATAATTTCACGCGTTTCATATATTTTCATGATACGCATTTAATCATCTATTACCTTCTTTTTACTATTGTTATATTTATTATATACTTGATCCTATGTATTAATTGTTTCTTAAAGGTTAAAATAATTTTTAAATTTTTTCTAAACGATTTTCAGAATTTTGTACATAATTAATTATCAAACAGAAAAAGAAAAAAAGAAAAAATTTATCAACTAATCAACTAATCTTTAAAAAAAGTTTTTCCCACTTTTTTTTTATATATATAAGCCTCAAAATTAGAGGCTTTTTTCTTTAATGAAATTTTATTTACTAAAAAAATAAAACAAAATTCTTACCATTTGTGGCTTTATCATCATTTCCCCTTCACATATATATTTAAATATAAATTGTTATTATTATCATTATTGGAAAATAAGAAAAAAATTTTCATTGAGAGTTTCTCAAGATCATAAACTTGTATCATTATTTTTCTTTATATATAATTATAAATATTTGCTTAGCAAATTATAATTCCAATAATATATATACATGTATATATACTGAACGAACTGTTATGTATGTGATTCATATATTTAATTACTATTTATCATTCGTCATAATTTACTTTCTTTTACATAGATAATTGTATCCTGAGAAAGATAATCAAAAAAAATTTCATATTTGATATCCGACGGATAGTAATGGGAAATTTTCGGATGATCAAATATAAATAAAAAAAAACTTGATCTACATTTGAGATTTGGATCCGACGGATATTCGATTAATGTAAATGAGAGAAAAAACGCGCAAAGCACCAACATCTTAAAAGTTTTTGGCCTTCGAATGGCGGATACCCTATGGTGCGCGAAGCCTATAACCACCATTTTTGCACGTGATTTTTGAAAGAATAGAAGTCCGTTTCTGTTGATCCT